GATAAAGTATTCCAAGATCATAAATAAAAAAAATATTGTTAATCATCTAACAAATTGAATAATAATAAATTATTGCAAATCATTATACCAGTCAAATAACTAACCTTCTGTGCTGCTTTTTGCAAAGAAGAAATGCAGTCAAACAAATGCATAAAAACGTATATAATAAAATTAAAATAAAACAAATATATAAATAATATAAATAAAATAAAAATAAAACAAAATACGAAATTATAAATACTGGACTTAGCAATTTTAAATAGAAATTCATTCATTATTACAAATTATTATACCATATCAAGTATAGCCATTTTGTACTGTTGAAAATATAAGATGCAAGTATAAAACTGTTGTAAAAAAATACAAAATAAAGAAATATAAATATATTGGGTTATATAATTTTAAATCAGTACTAGTAATTTTTACATATAATTAGCACGATTCAATGCTAGGGAATGTATATATATATATATATATATATATATATATATATTAATTGTTTAATATGAACAAAACAGCACTCAGATTTGTTTAACACAACTTTATTTTATGATTACAGACGTTTCGAGACTATGGTGTGTCTCATCTTCAGTGTAATTTCAAAAACAGTTACTTATATACTACACATTCTTTAATAACTTATTTAAATTTCATTTAATTTTTGATATACCTCCACCAGATGTCTGCAATGGTATACGGCTTCTGAACCATATTTATTGTAAACTGTGTTGAAAAACGATTGATCCATTGTTTGGATTGTAATTGCTCTTATATTGGCCAGACCTGCCAGAACTTAGAAAAGAGACTCAGGCAACATGAATTACAATGTGAAAAAATAGATAACAAAAAATTTAAAAGTACACTTGTGTATCATACTAATATCAACAACCATAAGTTTGATTTTGACAATCCCCAAATTTTATTCCATGAGAAAGACTTATTTAAACGGAGCATGGCAGAATCAATGTTAATAGTTCGGACTAACAATAGCATAAATCTAAGAACCGACACAAATATTTTACATGACACTTATATAAACATCATTAATAATTTATAAAAATTTTTTCATTTATCTTATTCTTTTCAATAAATTAATTTGTTTTTTCATTTTTATCGATTTTTTGTATGCGATAGCACTCCTTTTGTTTACATTATAATGATATCCATTCTGTCTCCATCTAGATAAGTACTTCAAATTTGTTTAGAATATTTCTGTAAGTGTTATGTGTTTCTTTAGTACTGTTATTAATTAAAATACGGTTTATTATTTTTCATTTTAATTAAGAATTATTCCTAGTAGATAAGTAGTAGATACGTAGCTGGGTGTTGCTACTATTTTCTAGTAAATATTGTTTTCACATGTAATAGTTGACATGCAACACATATTGTTAACAGTCTCTGCTTATTGTTGGTAAAAAAAAAACAAATTGCAGAATGAAAAAAAAAATTAACAAAGTTATATAATTGATATTATATATATATATATCTATTAAGTGAATATGAGCTATAAATACAGAGTTTAGTTAAAAAAAATGTAACTTTCCACGACAGATAAAATTATTGATGTGTTATATGTCGATTATGATTATAATTTTCACTGAATGCATCCACATGTGCTTCGTCATTATATGAGGCCAATGTCTAGGTCTAGGGCAATATCTTCGTCTTGTTTCAACAAAATGAAACGAGTTATTCAATTAGGTTTGTATAGGTGTATCCGAGGAAGAAGTGAGCGTGTCAAATGCTCGTGAGAGGCAACGGACAATCGAGAGAATCGGGTCGCGAGTTTATAACCGCTCTGGGCAGAGGTTTAAACATTGCAAAAATTGTTCAGACACGAACTCGATTGATGATTCAAAAAATTAATTTTTATTATTGTTTTTTTAACTTCCCGAAGGAAAAGTTTATGTTTTCAGAAAAAAATCCGATTCGCTAATTTTATGTTTTCTCAACGTTTCAAGCCATTCTGAATCGAATGAGACCAAATTTGAAAAAAGTATGTGTGTATGTGTGTGTGAACAGTTTTTTATCGTAAATCGACGTTTTCTCAAAAAACGGCTGGACCGATTTCAAAAATTTAAAATCCATTCGATGTATCTCGATGACAACTATCGTTTGTCAGTTTTGCTTTACGATCGGCCGAACTGTTTCTTTGTAAATCGCAAAAAAAATGAGAAAAAAATCGTCCACGTTTTAGCCCGCAATTTTGAATCAATTTTAAAAATTCAAAAACCGTTCGAAAGATATTGGTTGGAAATCGACTTGATTAGTTTTTGGTAAAGATCAGCCGGTCTTCATGTAATAAAGTGTTAAAAAAATTTTTTCGACGATTTTTATGATTTTTTTTTTGACGGTTGATACCATAGTCTAATATATCATACTAAAATATTACGGCCCTACGACGACTTGTTTAACTTTGAAAATTCGTCAAAGTTTGCTAAAATTAGTAACGCTTTTTTCGCATTTGTCAAAATCAGACCTATGATCGACGTTTTCTTAAAAACATCTGAACCTATTTCAGAAATTTAAAAGCCATTTGATGTATCTCAATGAGGACAATCATTTGTCAGTTCTGTGCGACGATCTGCCGAACCGTTTCTATATAATTTGAGAAAAGTGTTGATGAGTGAGAACTTTTCGTCCACATTTAAGCTCATACTACCAAATCGATTTTAAAAATCAAAAACTGTTTGAAAGATATTAGTTGCGAATGATACTAATTGGTTTGAGGTGAAAATCTACCGAGCTGTTTTATTGTAATTAACGGTTGAGAAAAAAAATGTAAGCTAATTTCTATGGAACCTTTTTTGGCGATATATATCATGGGCTTATAGAATTTACTGAAATATTACGGCCTTACGACAAGTAGTTTAATTTTAAAAACTCATCAAAGTTTGAGAAAAACTTTTTACACTGTATTTTTATATTTCTAATGAACAAAATCTACAACCATAGTCAGTCCATTTTAATCGATTTTAAAAAAGAACATGATTTTTATGGATATTACGCCTGATTATTATTAGATTTTAGTAATACATATGTAAACATAAAACTTAAAATTAATCATTATATGCATATTATAAATCATATAAGTAAGATAACAAATATAAAAAAATACTTTCTGTGCACGTTCTAAGAACTGTACAATAATTCAGCTGAACCTGAGACATAGAGAGATTAAAAAAAAAAGAAATTTTTAATTGTATTAATAAAACGTGATATATGTCTCCCGCAGGTATATTTATTTATATATAATGCATTTTCTGAAAGACTTCATAACAACATGACAATCAATTGTAGACAATATACAGAATGAAATGTTCTCATTATTTTATGCATTGCAAAAACGCCACATTATACATAATTTTAACTAGTTGGTTTGGTATTTAGCCTTGAGGCAAATTACATGAACTTCCCGATATGTGTAAATAATCGACTTGATCAAAAAAATGTGTAAATAATATACTTCATCAATCCTACTTAAAAAAAACGATAATAATTTTAGCAAAGTTTGACGAATTTTTAAAATTAAACTAAATATTACAGTTCTGTAAGACCATGATGTATATCGCCAAAAAAAGTTCCATGAAAAACGGCTTAAATTTTTTTTTAACAATTAATTACAAGAAAACGGCTCGGTAGATTTTAACCTAAAATTAATCAGTACCATTCCCATCTAATATCTTTCGAACAGTTTTTGATTTTTCAAAATCGGTTCGGTAGGATGAGCTTAAATGTGGACGAAAATTTAACACTTTTTTTCAACATTTAATTACAAGAAAACGGCTCGGTAGATTTTCACCTAAAATTAATCAGCATCATTCCCAAATGATATCTTTCGAACAGTTTTTGATTTTTCAAAATCGGTTCGGTAGGATGAGCTTAAATGTGGACGAAAATATAACACTTTTTTTCAACAGTTAATTACAAGAAAACGGCTCGGTAGATTTTCACCTAAAATTAATCAGCATCATTCCCAACTAATATCTTTCGAACAGTTTTTGATTTTTTAAAATCGGTTCGGTAGGATGAGCTTAAATGTGGACGAAAAGTTCAACACTTTTTTTCAAATTACGAAAAAACGGCTTGGCAGATCGTTGCACAAAACTGACAAACGATAGTCCTCACCGAAATACATCAAATGGCTTTTAAATTTCTAAATTCGGTTCAGGCGTTTTTGAGAAAACGTCGATCAAAAGTCTAATTTTGACAAATGCCAAAAAGACCATACTGATTTTTGCAAAATTTGACGAATTTTTAAAGCTGAACCAGTTGTCGTAGGGCCGTAATATTTTAGTATGACCTAGAAAACTATGGTATCTTTCGTCAAAAAAATAATCATAAAAATCGTCAAATTTTTTTTTTAAAAACTTTATTACAAGAAAACGGCCCGGCCGATCTTTACCAAAAACTAATCAGCACGATTCCCAACCAATATCTATCTAACGGTTTTTGAATTTTCAGAATCGATTCAAAATTGCGGGCTAAAACGTGGACGAAAAATTTTTCACTTTCCTGCAATTTACAAAGAAACGGCTCGGCCGATCGCCGCACAAAACTCAGAGACGATAGTCCTGATCGAGATACATCAAATGGCTTTTAAATTTTTGAAATCGGTCCAACCGTTTTGGAGAAAACGTCAATTTACGGCAAAAAATCAGTTCACACACACACACATACACACACACACACACACACACATACTTTTTCCAAATTTGGTCTCATTCGATTCAGAATGGCTCGAAACGTCGAGAAAACATAAAATTAGCGATTCGGATTTTTTGATGAAAACATAAACTTCTCCTTCGGGAAGTTAATAATGTACATAAGTTAATTATAAAGTACTTGACAATAAGTGTTACTTGGCACGATGTTACTTGCAGCAAATGATTGATTTGCATAACAATTAATTGCAGTTGTCCCATTTCGAGTATGGAGTTGTCTAAGATTCGCTTTCGCAAATTTAATTCTATTTTAATTTCAGACAAATCATAGCTTTTATGTCTAAAAGCGAGAGTAACAGTAATATCAAGGTCGTAAATATATACATATAATACATATTTACTTGCATTTTCCTTATTGTTTGAAGATGTTTTAAAACAATTTATAATTTACAGAAATTAAGAGTTTGCTGCTCAACGTGGATGTGCCTTATTGGAATTGCGTCCTTAAAAAAATTATGTGTGCCCTGATCCTAGTATAAGATTCTATCTATATACACCGTAAGTAATATTGTTAATATATTGCATTCAACATATAGTTAAATATATTATTTTTTTGTATTTAAAAATAAGTCTTTTAATAAGGTGACCATGCACGTACCGGTTTGGCCGGGACAGTCCCGGATTTGCATCTTGCGTCCCGGATTTTCCTAAACGCAAAATTTGTCTCGGATTCAGATTTTTTGTCCCGGATTATTAAGAAGTGTAGATTTAAAGAAACTGAATTTTTGTAATTATTTGATAATAAAATTACAAGACAACGATTCAACATTATTAAATTCAAACTTTTATTTACAATTTCACAAAAACTAACAAAAATTATGAAAACGAACTAATAAGTGGTAATTTTTTCAGGTTAATAATTAGGTAAAATGCACAGATATTTATACAATTCTTAAAAACAAAAAGAAATTATAAATTGAAAAATATAAGATATAATATCACATCATAGGTACAATAGGAGTATTAAATATAATCAAATAAAAAGTCCTTACTAAAAGCCTGTCCTGATCAAAAAAATGATTCATTAAAACAATTATTATAATATTGAATAGTATATGCTATTTTAAAATTGTATTTAAGTTATTTAGCATAAATAATTCCCCTCTCCCCGTCCCGGTGTAGCATAACAAAAAATTGCCATCCCGGTTTTAACTTAAAAAAATATGGTCACCTTACTTTTATTGAATAAAGTAAGTTACAGTACACATATGAGTTTTTTATCAAATCATAGTACTATTACAATGTAATATTGATATTGCATTACTTTTTATCTTAAATTAATCTGCATATTATCGAATACATGCGATGAAAAAGAAAAACGATCAACAATTCTCCAAAAAAGATCATATTTTAATAACTAGGTAAAGTAATAGATATTATAATAATTCTTTTAAAAAGATAATTTACAAAAAATTAAGTTCATTCATTTCAATATGTTTCAAGTGCAGTTATTGCTTGATCAGGATATAGTTAACCTTTTTTTTATTTATTTTTTATATATGTTTTTTTAACAGCAATCAGAACCTTAAGTCCTATGAGCTGTTGAGGTGAAACTTCTCTATACTTCGTATTTTTTAGATGGTAACCCAATGGTTAATCCATCCATATTTGATTATTTTTTTATTAGAATTAATCTAATAGGGCTGACTTTTTATTGGTGCAGCAATGCCGAGCAAGGGCTATTTTCACTTGGAAACATATTGCTATCTATATTTTCAAGTGAAAATCGTTGTCACTGCTGCCTGACAACAGGGCTGCTCGAAGCGGGTATCGAACCCGGAACCTCTGGTACAAGTCCCGTCGCTCTGAAGCATTTTATTTAAATTGCAACACATTCCTGCTTTGTATATAATTGTGACTGTTTTTCATATTACGCCATCTTTTTAGAAATATTTTTATACAAATATGATGCACAGTTTGTCGTCAAATTCCTTCATGTTATATGATTTTAAATAATAATGAAAATTACAAATTTCCATTATATATTGCAGAGAATCGCCATATAGAACCAGGCTCGACATGCGAGATCATGGTTCGTTGCATCGCGCCGGTTTTCGCCGGGACAGGAAGAACGTTATAGTAGTGCACGGTTTCAACGGCACAGAAAGTAAAACGCCTATGACCTTCCTCAGAGATGGTAAATGCAGACACAACATATATCACTGACAATAATAATAATAGTAGTAGGAGAGTTGGTCACAATACTTTGATTTAAGTTTCCAACGAGATAATTCAATAGGCAAAACTTTTTAGATGCATACCGCGTTTCTTTGAAACTTTTGAATTCAATTTTATTTGCTAATTAACTTTCCGTAGGGCAAGTTAAAGCAATCGCAAAAGAATCGAAAATGAACATTTTTATATATCTTTACGTTTCAGAGGTTTCTGAACATTTTACATACCTTAGAAATAATGGATGTATATGTGTGTATGCGTGTGTGTATGTATGTGTATGTTTGTGTGTGCGGATACAAATATTCATTGACGATTTCGGGAATACGGTTTAACGGATTTCAATTATTCAAAAAATATTCGATTCCTACTAATAAGGAGACGTGCTGATTATTTTTGAGCATAGGCAGGTTTAGCCGTTTTGAAGATACGGGGCAACAAGTGCCAAAGACGGTAAGTCAGTTTTTAAGAGAACGGAGCGTCCGGTTTTATTAATTCAAAAAACATTTTACTTGTATTGACAAGATGAAGAACTGTTCAAATTTTTGGGAAGGAAAGTCCTGCGGTTATGAACTCTTAATAAAAATAACATAAAAAAATATCATTTTGCGGTCAAAAATGTTTATTGGACATGTGTACATCAAATTATCAGATATTTTATAGAGATTTTAATAATGTGTACATATTTTGTGTAAATTTTGTTTGTAAGTTTGTACGTTTGTGAGTTCCAGCAATTTGCCTTAAGACACGATGCCATTCACCCCACTAGTTTATTTTTAATTGGGCATTGTTGGGTAGTGTTGAGTTTATATTAGTTACAAATTAACCAAAACTTTAATTTTGGAGCCGATAAGTAGACCAATGTTTTGACAAGGCTATAGTTTGTCATTTTGCACATAAAATGCAACTTCACTCATATGTTGTTATTAGATTTTCTATCTGACTGCACAGCAAGCGCATAGCATTTTGACAGTTTTCAGTACCATTTTATATTCAAAACTTTACGTAACATAGTCTTGCCATAACATTGGTCTATATCACGGCCTTTTAATCGGCCCTGCTGAAATATAAATACAGATCGTAATCGAGCATCAGGAACGTTTGAAATATGTTTCACTTCAATTGTAATATATTTTGAACATTAGAAAAAATCAATTCTCAACTGCATCACTATGGGGATAATTATATAACGCATAATTAATAAAGTAATTTATTTCAATAAAAAAGTATGATATTGAAATGTTATAAAGTATATCTCAATAATCAAAACTAAACAAGTTATTTAAATTTCAAAATATATGAATAATCGACATTTTTCTTTTAGTCATTATGTAAAACCTTTGTGTCCAAGTTTGACTGTCATCTCGATATCAGGCAGTAGTGATCACATTTTTAATTAAAATTATAATTATAAAATATTATATAAAATACATACATACTAATTGAGTAGCTGATTCTAATATCTACTAATTTTTTTTTTAACAGAAATTAGAGCCTTAAGTCATAAGCTGTTAAACTTAAATGTGTCCTTACTTCGTATTCTTAGATCGTAACCCAATGGTTAATCAATTCTTATTTGATGAATTTTTTATCATTAGAATTTATCTAATAAGGCTAACAGTTTTTATTCGAGCAGCTTTTCCGGATTAGGGAATATTTTTACTTGGAAACATATTGCTATCTATATTTCCAAGTGAAAATCGTTATCACTGCTGCCTGACAACAGACTACTCGAAGCGGGTCTCGAACCCGGGACCTGTGACTCATTCCAACGAGATAATTCAATAGGCAAAACTTTTTAGACCCATGTCGCATTTCTTTGAAACTTTTGTTACCAATTTCATTTGCTAATTTATTTTTAATTGGGCATTGTTGGGTAGTGTTGAGTTTATATTAGTTACGATTTTAACAAAACTTTAATTATGGAGCCAATAATGTTATGGCAAGGCTATGGTTTGCACATAAAATGCAATTTCACTCATATGTTGTTATTAAAAAATTTCGTAGGGTAGTTATAGTAATGGGCCAAAAATTGAAAATAATTTGTTTTGTTTTTCTCCACATTTTGAAGGTTTCCGCATTAAAGGTATGTCTGCATTTTTCCACCCATCTTAACCGCTTACCCAAGGGCCAGTCATAAAAAAATATGAAAAAAATATTTTAGTAGATGGTTTACCTGATCTCTGTCTATTCTACAGAACATAACATGTCATTGTTATACTGATCCCGTACACAATGAAAACAATTGTTAATAGCTGTCTTCTTGTCGCGTGACTTTATTATTCTTTTCAACGACATGAATGCAAAGTTTCATCGAGATGCACTTTCATTTGCGAACAATAAACAAATGTTTGTTCGATAAATAATAATGGAATATACCATATATTAGATGAAAGTCTGAAGTAATTCTAAAATGATGCATTACGTTAAGTTGGCAGATTTACTTTTGTGTTTTCGCGAAATATAAAAAACATTATACAAAAAATATCAAAAACATTAATATAAGTATGTAAATATGTCTATAAGTGAATATAGTTTCTGAGCAGAAAAATATTACTAGAAACATCAAAGTGTAACTACTTTCATTATTTAAAAATAATCATTATATCGATAAGTCACGCTAGTCATTAGGATGTATTTTTTATTTATTAGTTACCAAGTCGTTATCGTAAATTGTTTGTCTCGCCTCAAGCTGTTTATTAGTCATTTTACTTGTATGAAATAGTATTTTATTGCACTTAACATCTTGTAAATTAATTTTGCCCCGAGCATCCTCGGACAAACCAAGCATGTTAAACTGGACTAATGAGTCACTTAACACAACAATTTTATATTACTAGTTATTTTGGACATATTTTTTTTTCATGGCTTTTATATTTGCCTTTATTTTATACAATACTAGATCATTATATGAGAATTATGTTCATGGTCAGCAAAAAATGACCGCAAAATGAAAGTAAAATTATAAAAATAAACGCTTGTGTTTAAAAACATGATAAAGAAATGAAATCAATATGAGCAATCGGTCAAAAGTAGTTTAAACTGAAGATTTCATATTGTCGAAATAGAAAAAAATACCATTTTGATATATCTGCTGATAACACATTATAGTTGATAATAATTTTCGTCGATTAAAATAAATTAATTTTGCGAATATTGGATTAATAACTTGGTAGAATAATGACACTTGATTTTATTTTATTGATCGCATTTTAATAGCAATTAGAAACTCTGGCGGCCTATAAGCTATTGGGCTGAACCTTCTTACGTTGTGTTTTTTAGATGGTAAACCAACGGTTGATCTATCCATATTTCATTTCTTCATTATTAGAATGTATCTAATAGAACTGACTTATAATTCTATTTGGTGCAGTGATGCCTGTAAAAGACAATTTTTACTCGGAATCATATTTAGGATAAATATTCCCAAGTGGAAATTGATATCGCTTCACCACGATATCAGGGTTGTTCGTGACAGTGATTGAACGTTAACCACTCCCCCATGAAGGTCCTCAACTTGAAATTAACATAATTTTATTTCACGCAATTAAAACATAATATAAAAGTATAACATTGCGCATAAAGATAAAATTCAACCAGTTTAAAAACTTATTTTAAAGAGTTAGACCTTCCTTAGTCGTCAGCTACCAAGGTGACAATTTACAATATATTTTACGTTCATGTTCTGTTTAAACAATTTTTAACATTCTTCATAAGAATTAATTACTTTCATCATTAAAACTTTGGATCTTTGCTTCTTTTCATTTCAACCTTGCAAAACATGGAACATTTTGCAACTGGAGCAAAAACAAAGACTCTTAACAGAAAATAAATATATTTACGAGGTTAAGGTTTAAAGTTGAGGTTAATAGGTACATGCAGCAAGTCATTATATATATATATATATATATATATATATATATATAATTTCCCGCAGGGCAAGTTATAGTAATCGCAAAAAAATCGAAAATGAAAACCTAGCCGTTTCAAAGATACGGGGCAAAAAGTGGTAACTCAGTTGATAATGGTAACTCAGTTTTTAAGAGAACGGAACGTCCGATTTTAATTATTCAAAATACAATTTACTTGTATTGACGAGATGAAGAATTGATCAAATTTTCACGAAGGCAGGTGTAGCGGTTTCGGAGATCTTATAAAAAAAGTAAAAAAAAATCTATTTGGCGGTCAAAAATGACCATTAGACATATGCAAAAAAAGTAAAAAAAAATCCATTTGGCGGTCAAAAATGATGATTAGACATATGCGTATCAAATTATCAGATATTTTATAGAGATTTTAACAATAAGCATAAATTTTGTTTGCATTCCTATGGGTTCCGTACCAATGTTTATCCGTTAGACGGCGACGCGGCGCTTACGCGCTTTGACATTTCGTCTCTATGCAGTTAAAGCAGTACGATTGATTTGAAAAAAAGTTCAAAATTTCCAAAATATGTCAAAATAAAAAAAAGTAATAAAAGTAATTTTTTGTCAAATTTATAGTTTCTCAAAAATTTAATTTTTTTGAAGTAATTTTTTTTCAAAAATGTTAATCGTTTTTAAAAAAATAATAATTTTTGGTACGGGAAGTTCCAGCAATTTGCCTTAAGGCACGATGCCATGCGCCCCACTAGTTATTTATTTATTTATATCATCTTCTCAGTTATCAAAGAAATCAATTGATATACAAATATTTTTCAAGGTAGTATATGCAAATAAGTTTGTGCACAATAACAGATCAATTATGATATTGATTAAGGCGATTATATTGATTAACCATAACTATTTCCAGCATATTTATCTCGAGGTTACCAAGTCGTGACGGTGGATTGGGAGCCTTTGACAAGGTTTCCTTGTTACTTATCAGCCTTATCTAATACAAAACTAGTCGGGCAATGTGCCGCGCAGATGTACTCTTACCTTATGGTAGGAGGCGGAAGAGCTAAGGCCACCACATGCGTTGGCCATTCCTTGGGAGCGCACATTTGCGGAATGATCAGCAATCATCTAACCAGGAAGCAGCATAAAATTATAGGTAGGAGATCTGGAATTAACATATTGACTTAATCAAGATGATACACATCATTATTAAACTTAATCAAGATGATACACATTGCTTGCAAATGAATTGGAGTGGCCATGTGCTTCAAGGCTCATTAGTAGAACTATTAAGGGATAAAATTAAAAAAAAAAAGATTGCGCGTAAGGTTCACGCTCGATTGATGTATAACTTATTTGCTACTGTACAAGATGGCATTTGAGTAAAAATAGATACATCATATAACAATTTTGAATAATGGTAATTAGTAACATAGTAACACTCGTGATGCACACATTTATTAGTGTCAACCATTATACACATTTATATAATAATAAATTACAAATTATATTTTTAGAATACCATGAAAAATATGTATAATATTTAAAAAGAATAATGTAATTAAAGTCTTACTTCAAATATGACATGATCGGTTTGTCATTGTAATTAGCATTTATAAATGAACCTTTATTAGAGGAATGAAGTAATTGCTAATTAATAAATTCTATAATATTCGTTCACACAATGGATTTTGTTACACAACGCCTAAACAAATATTGTTTTCGCAACTTCACTCATCATGTAGTTATGTCTGAGGAACTTCATATAATTAAAATTAACATTCATTCATTGACTGCTTGTATTTTTTTTACTTTTTCGTTGGCGATATAATCTCATTCTTTGAACAGATGTAATATATGTCTTGCCTAAAAAATATTTTTCGAATCAGAAACTACAAATAATATAGAAACACGGCACAAATGTTTAATTTGTTTTATTATTTTCAAGGAACAGGGTAAAATATTCTTCTGATTCAGGCATTTTTCATTAAATCAAGATTTGTATTACGATGTAACTTCAAAATGTTTATTTATCTACGGCGATTTCCTTGTTGATATCGGTACGCATACAAGTTGAAGCCGGTACGCATACAACGACAGATCTCTATTCACATACATGATGTCTAATCACAATCGACCCGTATAGAAATGATTTCATCGAGAGCCGTAACGCCTTTCCGTTGCATTTGTACGGATTTACACCCTAGTCGCACTTAAATAAGTTTTACTTCAAAACATGAGAAAATTTGAAATCTACTTGAAAAAAAACTTCAAATTAATAATTTTGTCAAAGTTTTTGCAAGCAGTTATTTAAATTAAAAGAAAAAATTAATAACTAAGTATAATTTGCTATATTTATAAGTGAACAATATATGGAAAAAAACGAAGATCAAATTAACTATGACTTTACACTAATTTCAAAATCGGTCCTAATTATTTTTATTTTTTTCGTATTATTTTTAATAAAACAAAATTAGTTTAATTCACCTTAATATAATTTTTTGCCATTTTAATCATTCAAATAATGATATTTAAATTTCAAATTAATACATAATTCACACTTGACACTAAACAACACCTCAATAGCGTTCGGAATAACTAGCTAAACTGAGGGTTATTTAACATTTTATGAATTCAATATTTATGTGATAGCAAGGTATGCATTATGTAATAATTTTATTTTTGATTATTTTAATATATACAACAAAGATTGTTAAACCTCATAGGGTTGCCTTATGAAAATTAGCCTTATTTGAGTAAAATCAGCACAACATTTCATAGGACGTTTAAGTTCTAATAGTTGTTCAAAAAACATAACTTCATACATGATTAAAAAAATTATATATTATTATTAATATTATTTATTCATAATATCTTATTATATGTCATAGAATAAGAAGTTTCAAAAATTTTCCTGAAACTTTTACTGCTATTTAATAGTACTCATAGTTTGCGCAGTAGCGATCTTTGGTATATAATACATATTACTATTTCTATGTGAGATCATCCAAAATCATTTTGATGACACGTCCAAAAGTCTAATTAATTTTCATTATGGTATTTACAATAAATCAATAAATTGCAATAAATCAATCTAGCGATAAGTTAATTGATGATTAAAATAATTATAAGACAAATAATACTTCTAATTCTTTCGTTTTGCAAATGCTGCTATGTTGATTACTAAAACAAAATATGCATTAATTAAAGTGTTTAGAAAGCGTTCAAGATAGCGGTGTGGTATTTTTTTTCTTTCTGGAAATTTTCAGATACACATCACTAGATCCATTCATAACTGGCGGACCAAACCTTTCATTTTGTAATAAATAAATAATAATTAAAAGAGCATACTAAAGGCTAAAATAATTTAATAACAGATATTTAAAATATTTTTTTCTACTACTTGTTCCTACAATTCAAGATTTTTAAAGCTTATCAGAAAATTTTATTTCTGATTTTTATACCAAAACTTGGTGTTATACATTGTTTTTATACATTTTTGATATCCACTTAAATATATATTTATACAAATCAATCTATTAAAATCTCGAATAATATAGACTTTGTTTCAAAATGGTTTCACAACCATGCTTCCACATGTACAAATGGAATATTTTTATACACATTTAATATATGTAAGTGTTCCACAAGATCGTGTATAATTTATTCGTCTAGCTCTTAGCCATGTAAATTAATCTATGCACATGCTTGTATATAGTGATATTATGATTCATTATTTCAGGATTAGACCCAGCCAAACCTTTAGTAGATAGATTCGGCTCAAGAAAATTTAGGTTAACCAGAGAAGATGCGCATATTGTGCAGGTGAATAACTTACTTTAAATATAAATTTGTTAAAACATCAGCATTATAATTATAATTAAAAATGTTTTGAAATTTAAAGGTAATACATACTAATGCAGGATTTTTAGGAGAAGAAGCCCAAGTGGGTCATCTAGATTTTTGCGTAAATGGAGGAAGGATACAACCATATTGCAAGGGACACCCTATAAGTAAATATTTTAATTGTTAATAGTTTATACAAAACGTATACGAAATTAATCACAAAATATCAGATCATACGAATTTCATTTATCGATAAATTATATATATATATATATATATATATATATATATATATATACTATGTAGAATTGTCTATAATATTAGAGAAAGACTTTAAAACGTGTGTTAAACAAATGATCATGCATGATCATTTGTATTGTTGCAATATTATTTTTGCAACAATGCAGTGCCATTGCATTTAGATTTGGCTATACTGATGTACTAGTAAATGAGACTTTGAATATATTCTGGATAGTTTTTACATACAATGTCCAACTTATAACAATGCATTATCAAATCGCAGAATAAATGAATTAGAAAAAAAAATATATTGCGGAGTGCTGACTTGATCAATCCATAAAATATTTACGATTATCGTAGGAATATGATATATATATATATATATATATATATATATCTTTTTGGATAAAATTATTCATTAACCAAACAATAATATTAAAATTATAAAAAGAAGTTGTTTATTATTCATTATATCTTATAATATTTTCAATGGTTGATCATAACGTAATCAGTTTCTTGACCAATTAACTGTGATTGACCATTATACTCGTCATGGGCAGAATATTGTGCATTGACGAGTAGTCCAGTCATTTGGTGCAAAAAAAGGCTGTTGCCGGTACAGTACTCCGGGAATTCTGAAAATTGGTAATCTTATAGATTTCGAGGTGCTCTTTACGAAAATCAACTTTGCCACCTCAAATTTGAACGGCAAGTTGCCGCCATATTGGAAAAATGGCGTCAAACAACAGCTTTTTTAAAATATCTCCTTTCTGGCTGATTTTACGATAAAAGTATCTATGTACGAATTAAACTAGATAAAATTTCCTACAATTCCTTAGAAAGCCGTTTTTTTGTAAAATTGATAGTTTGAGAGTACGGCCGCCTCAAAGTCTTTGCTGCTCTTTCCGTAGTATCAAATCCTTCCATATATGACAGCACTTCGAACTTGACCACATTCTCTCTAATAATTAATATTATTAATATTAAATTAAGCGAATAAGATCTAGAAATGAAATAATTCAAATATTTTTCGTTTTTTTTTGCTGAAATTTTTTAACACTCCTATGGCAAAGTAGCTATTAGTAAGTAGCTTGAAGTATTAAAAAAACAGCAAAAAAATAGCAAAAAACAGAAAAATATTTGAATTATTTTATTTCTAGATCTTATTTACTTAATTTAACATTGAAAATATTTATTTATTAGAAGGAATGTGATCAAGTTCAAAGTGCTGTCATATATGGAGAGATTTGATACTATGGCGAGAGCAGCAAAGACTTTGAGGCGGCCGTACTCTCAAACTATCAATTTTACAAAAAAACGGCTTTCTAAGGAATTGTAGGAAATTTTATCTAGTTTAATTCGTACATAGATACTTTTATCGTAAAATCAGCCAGAAAGGAGATATTTTAAAAAAGCTGTTGTTTGACGCCATTTTTCCAATATGGCGGCAACTTGCCGTTCAAATTTGAGGTGGCAAAGTTGATTTTCGTAAAGAGCACCTCGAAATCTATAAGATTACCAATTTTCAGAATTCCCGGAGTACTGTACCGGCAAAACGACCAAATGACTGGACTAGAGTATAATTGTGATACGTATCAACCAGTGACAAATAGCAACTTAAATTAATTAACAAAGGCATGAACGAATGCAAGAACTTTCCGATTTTTATAAATAATCGACTTCATCAAAGAGAATTAATTTTTATCTATTTATATACATTTTTAACTTTCCCTAGGGTAAGTTATAGTAATCGCAAAAAAATAGAAAATGAAGATTTGTATATATCTTTACGTTTCAAAGAACCTTAAAATAAATGGATAATATGTGTGTGTATGTGTGTATGTGTGTGCGGATATAAATTTTCGTCGACGATTTCAGGAACACCGATCAACCGATCAAAAAACATTCGACTCGTATTGATAAGGAGATGTGCTGATTAGTTTCTAGCAAAGGCAGGTCTAGCCGTTCCGAAGATACGGGACAAAAAATGCCATAAACGGTAACTCAGTTTTTCAGAAAACCGAGCGTCCAATTTCAATCATTCAAATAAAATTTTACTTATATTGACAAGATGAACAATTGATTAAATTTCTGGTAAGGCAGGTCCAGCGGTTAGAGACTCTCAATAAAAATAAGTTAAAAAATGACATTTTGCGGTCAAAAATGTTTATTGGACATATGTTCATCAAATTATCAGATATTTTATAGAAATTTTAGTAATGTGTACATATTTTGTGTAATTTTTTTTTTGAGTTCCATACTAAGATTTGTAATTATGGTACGGGAAGTTCCAGCAATTTGCCTTAAAGTATGATGCCATGCACCCCACTAGTATAACTGTTTATTTCAAAAACAAAAATATTGCTTTTCGCTATCAACTGAACAATCTGATTTCCAATTGATATTATTTCAACAACTACGATTTCTTTTTTAAGTTTGTATTCCTTACAATTAGATTTGGACGATAAGGCACTGGTTGATTAGGGCCCCTGGTCAATTTTGTTTAGCATTTATTTTTGGGCCATTTTTTAACTTTCCGTAGGATTAGTTATAGTAATCGCAAAAAATCAAAAATAATTTTTTTTATATATCTTTACGTTTCAGAGGTTTTTTAATTATTCAAAAAACATTCGATTGCTGTTTATAAGGAGACGTGCTGATTAATTTTTGGCATAGGCAGGTCTAGCCGAAAAAGTCAATTTCTAAAGAAGTAAATTTTTATCAAAAATTTATAGTTTCTCAAAAATCTAACTTTTTCAAAGTAATTTTTTTTCAAAAATCTTAATGTTTTTACAAAAAAATAATTTTTGGTACGAGAAGTACCAGCGCCCCACTAGTTGCATTTGCCAATTTGAAAACTGGAGTGTTAGGATTTTGAAATACTACCGCAAAGGTTCAAAATATTAATGTATCTATAACTATATAAAATCCACATTTCATTTTGATATTGATATTACATGGAATTTTATTCGAAGGGCGTTCGCGTTGCAGCCACTTTCTCAGCGCGTGTTACTTGGCCCAGGCCGTGAGGTCGCGCACGCCTCTGCGTGGAGTTCCCTGCAACCGCGGATGTCCTCGCTCGGGAGTGGGTCACTGGATATCGGCGATTCTGCCTGCGCCCGCCGCGCCACCCCCACTACCCGAAGGACATTCGCACGAAATGTTCTCCATTGGGGAGGAATCAACAGATAAGTGAGTATTAAAGGACTAAGAAAATTCGATGCCACGGTAATTTATATTATACAATATTATTACTGTTATGATCTGATTTATTATGGTGGGGTAACAAGTTGGGACATGGGCTAGCACAAACTAGTTCTGGGTTTACTGGCTCGAAAGCAGCCACGGCCAAGTCCGACATCAGGCAGTTTTGATGTCAAATTTCTATTTAAAGTTGTAGATCTCAAGAACGTAATCAACCCTCGTGAGAATAGCTGCATATAAAATAAAAAAATGTTAACAAATACTTCGAGTATAGTTACAACTGGATTAGTCACACTTACTGGGTTGTCATTCATTCAAGATACCATATAATATCGACAAAACAATTACTGAATGTCCTAGTGCATATGACAGATTGTTTTTAAAAGCATAACAAAAATAAAACTGATTTATTGTGATATTTTTGTCATCATTTATACACTCGAGAAATGTTTATTGATTTCAGCTATTCTGAGTGTTTTGTACATGCAAAATATTATTTAACTTATTTACCAAAAAAATTTTTGTTTGTTTTTATTTTAATTACAATCTGTCACACTTAGGACATTCAGTAATTGTTTTGACTTTTCTTATTATATGAATCTTAAATGATGGCAACCCAGTAACTGTCCAGTCCAGTTATGACTAATTATCTATACTCGAAGTAATTGCTGACATTTTTATTATATATGCAACTATACCTACGAGAGGCGATTTTCACTTGAGGCTATATTTGAGATCTATAACCTCAAGTGGAATTTTGACATCAAGGTTGCCTGATGTCAGGCTTGGCAGTAGCGGGAATCAAACCAGCGAACCTGATTTACCAAAAATGGAAGTCTAAATCGACTCGACTAAATCACATTTTATTATGAAAAATTTCATTTCTAGTGCATAGTTTTTTTCAAAATAAAAAACAATTAGAATGTGTTTGCAGTCGATAAAATATTATTTTATTTCGATGAGATAATTCGTAATTGGCGTCCCAGAGAGCTCGCAATCTATGAGTTGCGTGGCAGTCAACATGTTAAGTAAAAAACAAAATAGTTTGTTCTCGATTAATAAATCATTTAGACAATCAAAAGTATTTAAACATCAGGATTCATAACCAATCGATTTTATTTGAATTATGATCTGTGTATTATAAAAACATTTTTAGTAATTGTTTTTTTATCTTTAGCCTATGGCTTGTTTGGAAGGTAACTGACTAGTTATTTTTTCTTATAAAGTGGCATCATTCTTTTACTATATTTGATTTTGAACAATATAGTTATTTTCACTTTTTATTCTCACTTGACATCTGTTATCAAATGAATTTTTTATATAACACTGCATGATATCAAGCTGAATTTTTTTGAATAAGTGACTAATTGTTGTTAGAAATTTGATTATTTTCATAACAAATTATAAACGGATTTATTTCTTTCTTTTCAGAACTACCGGTACATATTGTGTAACATTTGATTATAACAAGCAGTGCCCGTTTGATTAACATTTTTTTTTAAAAAAAGTGGCAAAACAGTTGAGTGAATATTAAATTAAATCAGGGTTTAGTGTTTAGAAACTTTTAGATCTAAGTTCTTAATGATGACAGTTTAATATATAATGAAAGTGTTTGTACAAATAGTTTAAGATATAGTGTTAATAATTTATGTAATTGAATATTTATTAGAAATATATCTTCTCATGTGAACTTCTCTGTGTTTTTCTATTTCCTACCGTTCTGTTGAATAATTATTATTCATTACTTCAAATAACAAACTAATTATATAGGTTTTCAAAGTAAATAAAAGAAGAATTACTTCAGACCTTGTTTTGTGAATATTTTGAATTATATTCTAAATATACATAGATAAAATCAAATTGATTTCAATTGAAAAATTATATTCAATATATGTTTTAAACACTGAGGCCATCTGTTCGGTTCTCTAAAAGCCAGTATTGATGCTCGCAGTGGCTTTGCTCAAAATGCAACATTAGAAAGAATTTTACAATTATCCAACAAGTTTTTTTAAAATAATTTATAATAATTATCACCACCAAATTATCATGAACGAGTTTAGATAAAATGTGTATAACCCAATGGTTACAACAATCGTTCAAATATATTTCTTGGGAAGAAATTTTACAAATGAATACTAGATAGAGTGAGAGATTAAAGCTATAAATTAAATTGGTACACAAAGCATCCCGTATTAAAACTGATTGTATTGCACTTTTATAGTAATTTCATATATTTCTAACACGTCATTTTAAAACCCACGTTAATCGCCATGTCAGTCAAATGCGTCTGACGCTAAGAAGTTCTACATGAGCCATGTCAAACACTTATGTCTGATATACGCGATTTGGTAGATGAAAAAGAAACTTTTTTTAATTGATTTCGTTTTCTTGATACACTTTCAACTAAATTATCTTATGAAGTTACCATTGCCTATGTGAAAATTAAGTAAATAGATTAGTGATATTCATATAGCGCCTCATCTGCTTAAACTATAAGATCTATCAGTATTTTTTAATTATATAATTTTTATATAGTTAACGTCAATTATGCAAGTAAAAAATAAGACAATGAAAATTTTCATAAGCAAAAACCCCAATGACCAATAATTCACACATTTATTAAAATTATGTAATCACAATATGTTTACAGTTAATTATTAAATAATTAAATATTCATTTTATTAGCTGTGCCGAAATGTGTACATTTTATTTTGGTATATTATTTGTTATATATTGGACTTGTATATAATACCTGTACCTCATTACTTCTTCATAAATTAATTACATTTTTTTAGTGCTCTCTCACACCAATTCCCAAAGCCCACACTTGAATAAAAGAAAGTCCAACTTCAAAATTATCACAACGAAAAAACTTTAGAGGGGTATATTTAAAAACTTACTTAAATTTTTTATATACGCCCAATAAAATTTTCTCGTCATGAAATTTTTAATGTGGGTCTTATTTATTCAAATGTTGGCTTTAAGATGTTATAACATGCAACTTTGACTTGTCTGACATAATCAAAAAGATTTCAAGAAATATTGAATCGAATCATTATTGATTAATTGCATGTCTTGATCAAAATTGTTTTTAGTAATAAAAGTACATATAATTTTTTTGCAAATTATGAATATAATCAAATAATTTTAAAATGTAATAGATCACGAAAGACATATAGAACTTTTCAAATATTTCAATCAAAAGCAGCAATTGTGTCGTCATTAATGAGAATGTGCATGCAGTCAAACAGGGGAAATATATGATTCTCAATACTAAAAATGTCTATGTGAATAAAACCACTATTTTGTTTATGATATATATCATGATCATGAATCTACAACCTTCTTCTCTCGTTACTTTTGCTAGTCTTTCTTATTATTATAAGTTACCGGTATTTAAACTCATACAATTGTATCCCCCCCCAAAGGGTTCCGAGTTAAATAGAAAAAGTCCTGGTCAAATCTCGACCAACATTAAATATTCAAAATCCTATAAGTGCATCAGATTTAGTATGATGAATACTTGTATATAATTCAAAAATTATATTCTTGGACTCGAATTACATAAAACATACTTTGCCTCTCCCAGAACTCAAAACCAATACTTGAGCACCTTTTGCAGCAACTGCCAGGAACTTCTAGTACTCGACACAAAATCAGTTCTTTACAAAATCAGTCGGTTACGTCCGAGCAAAGTCCTTACTTAACACACAATACACCACATACATGAGAAACTTTTGTGAACTTAAAATTCGATAAAAATTTGATTTGAGGTGGACATGTTTAAGCATTACCTACAGAAGGATACACAAACATATATTAGTTACACAATTATTAATTACATATAAATAAAAATAAAAGATATATTAGATGTAGGTAAAATGTTTAATTATAAATATAAAATTGATTCAAAAGGCAGGTCTAGCGGTTTCGGAAATCAAGTAAAAAAAGTAAAAATAAGCCATTTGACGGTCAGAAATGATCATAAAATTATCAGATATTTTATAGAGATTTTAACAACAAGTATAAATTTTGTTCACATTCCTATAGGTTCCGTTTATTTGTTAGACGACAACGCGGCGCTTACGCGCTTTAGTATTTCGTCCCTTTGCAGTTAAAGCAGTACGATTGCTTTCAAAAAAGTTCAGAACTTCCAAAATATTTCAAAATAAAAAAAACATTTTTCAACTAGTTGGTATTGGTATTTTGCCTTGAGGCAAGTTACATGAACTTCCCGATATGTGTAAATAATCGTCTTAATCAATAAAAAATAAATTAATTTATGAGTTATTAAAGTATGAAAACGAACGGAACTCGGAATATTTTCTGAGAGCAAATTTTCAAAAATCAACAACAAGACCATAGTAGTATTCAAGTACTCTATCGTTATACCAAGTAAATCCTCTAATTGTAATATTAACAAAAGTCAAAAAAAACTACTCATTTTCTCAAACTTTGATAAAATTTTAAAATTAAACTATATGTCGTAAGGCTGTAATATTTCAGTTAGTTCTATAAGACCATGATGTATATCGCCAAAAAAGTTCCATAAAAATCGGCTTGAATTTTTCTTTCAACAGTTAATTACAAAGAAACGGCTCGGTAGATTTTCACCTAAAACTAATCTAATTTAAGCTAATTTTTCAAAATCAATTCGGTAGTATGAGCTGAAATGTGGACGAAACGTTTAACACTTTTTCCCAAATGACAAAAGAATTGTTTGGCAGATTGTTGCACAAAACTGACAAACGACAGTTCACATCGAAATACATCAAATGATTTTTAAATTTTTGAAATCGGTCCAGCAGTTTTCGAGAAAACGTCGACTTACGGCAAAAAATTTGTTCACATACACACACACATTCTTTTTCCAAATGTGGTCTCATGCGATTCAGAATAGCTTGAAACGTCGAGAAAACATAAAATTAGCGAACCGGATTTTTTGATGAAAACAAACTTCTCCTTCGGGAAGTTAAAAAATCTTATTTCCAAAAAAAATATTTTTTTTCAAAAAATTATAGTTTCTCAAAAATCTAGTTTTTTCAAAGTAACATTTTTTTAATCTTAAAAAAAAAATAATTTTTGGTACGGGAAGTTCCAGCAAGGCACGATGCCATGCTCCCCACTGATTGTATGCATATTGAAAAAAAACTTTACAAACACAAATCATAAAGTTATTTTCATCAAGATCTGATTTTGATAATATTTTAAATAATACCAGTAAATCAGAAAATATACAATAACAACAATTTAATTACAATTTTATATAAATTTTATTACAAAAGAAATCGATTATCTTTGGGAGGAATTAGAACTTCCAACCTTGAATCGTTCGGAATCCATACGATTTTTTCTGAATAATTGAAAATAAATGAGCTTATGTACATAATTATCATTACAGAAATTGATGGCGGAATGATTATTCTCATATTCATTAGATTATATAATTAATATAATTCGCTAATGGAGCCTCTTGTGATTGTATTAATTTCACAGTGAATTAGCTGATTAATCATCGTTTAGTTTGCATAGATTTTAGTTCGATCTGTTTGAAGATAATTGATGATATTACTAGTGGTGTATGGCATCGTGCCTTAAGGCAAATTGCTGGAACTTACCGTACCAAAAATTATTTTTTTTAAAAAAGATTTTTTTTTTAAACTTTGAAAAAAAAATAGATTTTTATGAAGCACACACACACACACACAACTAAATAATATATATATATATATATATATATATATATATATATATATCCACTTTCCTTTGGTTTGTGCGCAATGACTGAGAAATTGTATTTTGAGATTTTGCGTCGCTGTAGTATAAATCAGTTGCTTTTCA